GATCCTGCTATCATTTCTCTGAATTTTGCCACGTTCTTACTATCGAATGATTCTTTAGGCTCATGCGCAGGGGCTGCCATCCTTTTGTTGGTTAAAAATTCAAAATCTGCCGAGAATTTTTTACTTAATCGATGCGATATATTGCACGCCGGTTTGACCACTCCAAAAACTGCAACAAATCACCTCAACAGAATGGCGCACAGTGGATCGAGAAAATCAGAGAGGTGGGACATGAAATTTTTGACTAAAACTGCAAATTTTGATGTTTACTTCGTCACATTTTAAATTTCAAGGGGTGCTTTTAGAGGTAAATTTTACGAGGAAACCAATGAAACCACTTTCAGAACCTCAAATTTTTGTGTAAATGGAGTTATAAGCGTTTAAAGTTTCCGAATTTTGTCCGACCTCTCTGATCAACTCGATCCACTGTGTGGCGGAGGAAAGCCTACCAAAGGAGATGCATGACTGAGTTCCTCCTGGGAGGAGCCAATGGGGACGCGTACAGGAAAAGGGTAGCAAAAAGGGTTTTAAATGAAATCTTTCAAATCCTTTCTTATCAACCTTGGAATTTGTTTTTCTCTTTTTTTTCAATGTTCCTTACATTCCAAACTTAATATTTGTCAGGGGTCGCATGGGAAACATGCGAGGCTTTGGTGGACCCTTGAATGATAACTGGCATGAGAAAAGCCTCGTCCTGCAGCACAAAATCTTGGCCCGAATGCGGTTATTAGGAATCAATCCGGTTTTGCCCGCATTTTCTGGACAAGTCCCTCGAAGTTTTAAAGAGTAAGTAGGTTTCGCTTTTTTTCTTGGAAGTAAAATATCATCTTTATTATTTCCTACCTTCCAGTAGATGGTTAATTTTTCATCTATATCTTTCACAGCATTTGAACATTCTGGAAAATTTCTGAAGCTGTAGGCAGAATTCACCATGATCCAGGATTGATTTAAAACATAAAAGAAAAATTGATGTACAGATATTTAGGGATTTGGAGGACAAGGCGCATAAGTGCAGTTTTTGCTATTTCGAGAATTACGTGTTTGGAATTTCGGAATTACGTGGATCCTCATGGCGGAGAGAAAGTTCAAACTGACTTTTTGTTGCTTGAAAACTGGAATTTGGAAGCGAATTTTTCACAAAATATGCATTAAGACTAGCTTTGCTTGAAAACATTAAAATCCCAACTTCTTAAAAACCTGCACTTATGCGCCTTGTCCTCCAAGCCCCTCAATTGAGTTTCATTTCAACCTAACGTATGTTTTTACAGAATGAAAGTGGTTTCAATACGCACTGAGGGGCGTTCAAGTAGACCGCGGTTAACAGGAAGGAACCAAGCCACATCAGCTGTTGCTAACTTTAATTCGGAAATTTAATTTTTTACAAGAAAGCGGTTGTGCAGATTTTCGTGCAAATTTCGGTGAATTTTCTCCATAGTACCAAGCTAATTCCTTAAAAGTTTCAAAGAAATCCACACAGACATTCTCTCGTAACAAATTAAATTACCCAATTAAATTTGGCAATAGCTGATGTGGCTTGGTTCTTTTCTGTTAAACGCGGTCCAAGTATTACGTGATGCATTTCGGCTGACTTTTTGAGCCCTCCTCTGATTGGACAACCTTTCACCCCTGAGTTTTTCCAGGAAATTACGGGAAAGCGCGAAAGCCGAGTAGACTTGTTTTCTTTTTGTGGCAAATATTGTCTTTATTACGGTGGGAGACCTCTATCATTTTGGAACCTAGTGGTGAGGCCCACCGCCGTGAGTGAAGCCTTGGAAAGTTAAAACGCCTTCAAATTCGTGCGTATGCAACACGGACATCCATCGAGTTCGAATAGTTGCATCCGGCGTTATTATAAAATTCGTTCAGCGCTCTTTGAACTGAGGGCTTTTGGCTTGTCTCTCTTTCACTTTGACTTGATTCTAGCGTTGCTCATCGTGCCGATGAAGTGAACTATTACTGATTTTTACAGCGACATTGTCAATTTTCCGAAAAATGCATTTTTTAAACGTATTACAATTTTGCCCACCTAAAATGTTGGCTACGACCTATACACTCACTGACTTAAGAGCGGCAGAGTCATTTCATAGACACTTCAGGAAAATGTTCTCGTTAAAAAAAAAAAAAAAAAAAAAAAA